AATCTTGAAATTTTCAGGCAAATGGATGGAACTAGAAAAATCCATCCTGAGTGAGATAACACGGTCACAGAAAGATAATCATGGTTAATACTCACTCATATATGGATATTAGACACAGTACAAATAATTAGCAGTACTACAACCCACATCTCCACAGAAGCTAGGAAACAAGGAGAAATGTAAGAGACATGCAAGATTCTCAAGTAAACGGGAAAGGGAAAAGAACCCCTGAACAAGTGGGAGAATGGATGAGGGGGAAGGAGGTTGGACAAAGAGGAGGGGAGAAGAGGAAGATGGGGGAGAACCTGTGGGATCAGGCAGATTGAGTGGGTCTAAAGAGAAATCTGGCACTACTGAATTGTACAGAGATCCACATGGATGACCCCAGCTAAGATCCTAAGCAATAGTGGGGAGGCTACCTTAAATACCCATCTCCTATAATGAGAATGATGATTACCTTAAATCCATCCTAGAGCCTTCATCCAGCACCTGATGGAAGTAGAAGCAGAGATCCATAGCCAAACACTTAGCCAAATTCCTGGAATTCAGCTGCAGAGAGGGAGGAGTGATGAACAAAGAGGTCAAGACCACCTGGAAAACCCACAGAAACAGCTGACCTGAGCAAGTGGGAACTCATGACAGCTGAACATAGGACCAAACTAAGCTCCCTGAAGGTGGGTATCAGGTGGGAGCACTGTGCCGTCTATGTGCCTCTGTCTGTGGCACCAGGATGTATTACTAGTGCAGGGAAGGACTTCTGGAGCCCATTCCCCATGGAGGGTCCTTTCTTAGCTTAGATACACAGGGGAGGGCCTAGGCCCTGCCCCAAATAACTTGACAGATTTTGATGATTCCTCATGGAAGGATTCAGCCTCCCTGGGGAGTAGATTTGGGATGGGATGGGGGTGTTGATGGGTGGCGTGAGAGGATGGGAGGGAGAGGGAACTGGAATTGATATTTAAAATAAGATTGTTTCTAATTTAAATATATTCATTCATCTCTCCCCCATATCTGTGTAGACCCTCTCTTCCTCCCTACCTATCAAAATTTATGTATCAAAAACAAAAACAAATTAAAACCCAATTCAACAACAAACCCCTGAAATCCTAGACAACCGAATACAAAATTAAAAAAAAATAACAATAAAATGCCCCCACCAAATTGAAACAAAAAATGTTTACACACACACACACACATACACACAAATACATATATACTCACACTCACTCACACACACATACACTGACAATCCCATTATTTGTTGGCCAAATTCTCCTGAACATAAGACCTGTCTTGGAGTGGTTGATATACACAATGTCACTTTATTGGAGAAATCATGTTTTCCCTCTCCTAAGAGGTATACATAACAATGACAGCAGATTTGTTAACCTTTACACTTCTGCCTATGTATTCATTCATTAATTCATTTGTTCATTTTTTAAATGTAACAAATTGCAATATAATGAGATAAAACAAATACTACCACATCAGTGTTGGATGAGATGAAGCAAGAGAAGGAATGGAACATATTACATGGCACCAGAGTCAGGGACCTACTTGTTCTCCAAAGCCAGAGTTCCATATTTTAAACTGGAAGACATAAGAGCAAAGGACCTGGTGTAGACCCTGTGCATGCTGCCTGTGAGTTCACATGAGCTTTGACAATGATGATTTTGAGAGCCTTGTTCTTCTGGTGTTTTCCTATCCCCATATGCCCCTTACAATCTTTACAGCTCCTCCTCTGAGTGATTTTCTGAGCTCTGTGGACAGAGATTTAATATATTTCAATTTGATGTGTGAAGCAAGCTTGTTTCTAAATTTAAAATAAATAAATAAATAAAAATAATTGAAATATTTGAAAAATACAATGAAACTGATCCATTAATTAATGTCAAATGGATTCAGGGGTCAGACTATAATTATAAACAACTGGGGGTTAACTATAAGATCATACACTACTTCATACTACCTCCATAATTTGACATAAGTTTCCATGCTTTGCTGTGCTAAGTCTTCCCTTTTCCTTCAGAAAGTCAGCAAGAACAAGTAAGTCAATGTGATGACTGTCTTCATTTTTACCCTGACACCATCTAGTTTCAGTGAAGTGTTGTCTACACAGTCTTGACCTGAAGGCATAAATGTGAGAGGTTGTGTCAGCTAACTTCATTAATGTGGGAAGATCCAGTTCACGGTCTGGCCTCACCAGTCCCTAGCTGTGTATGTGGAATAGCATGCTGAATGAGAGTAGAGCATTCGAGGTGAACAGCCAGGCAGGAAAGCATGCATAGACACATTTCTTTCTATTACTTAAGGGGGTTGTGATGTGACCAGTAGTGCCGAGCTCCCCCTGTCGTGACTTCCTCTAAGAAATGGACTGTCACCTGAAATGGGGAACTAAAACAAGCATTTTATTCCCCTAAAAGTAAAACATAATTGTCATTTGTTATTTGAGATAGACAAGGTGAACCTGGAGCATTTTAATATCTTTCTACTGAGCAAATATTGGAGAAGAAGAAATGGATGATCAGAATGAAAGACATCGTATATTATTTTGGTGTGAGGAGTTTCCATTGGGATCTGCCCTTTAGAACTAGGTTTTGTCTTGCTATTTTTTAAAGTTTCATGAAGGTGTGTAGTTTGAGCGAACATTTAGGTGAAGAATAAAGTACTGTGTCACTCACCTACAAGCATTGGACATATTTGAAATGACGATTACATTGGAATTAAAATCATCATTGAGAACCTCATGAGTTACTCAGGATGTAAACACATTTCTGACTTTCCTCAATTTAATTTTTGTAGAAATGTGTAGAAATTATTGTTTTCTTATTCAACATGTCTATCATGGTACTTTTTCTACTTTTATATTATAGTGAGACTTTCACTGAGTTAGTTTGATACAATTACAAGGTATTTCATTAGAAGTAATTCAGTGATTCAGTTCTGGATGACAAAATAGTCCACGTGTCACACTTGATGAGTCTATCTCTTTCTTCACTCACAGGAATATGCTGTCCATGTGAATATTTTAAAGAGTATTATATTAACTTTTATTAGTTGTGTCATTCATATATACATATAAGTTCCTGCAAGAGCAAAAATATACAGGGATTCTGGGACCAATTTTTTGAAATAAGATTATAAATGAGCATTTATGAAGTAAAATCCTACCATGGTTCATGTAAACAATCTATTAAAATCAACTCTAAATTAATACTGCAAGATAAGATTAAAATATATTGAGTCAAAGAATAGATATACACAAAAATTAAGAGAACGACTAATTTTTGTTAATCAATTAGCAAGTAATTCTAAAAGTCTATTAAAAATATATATTCAATGAATGTAGGCAAACATCTGGCAGTCAATTTTCTGTTAATAATATAAACAAGATAAAATAATTCTGGTTTTGTTCTCAACAAAGTGGACAACATTACAAATACATGCAATTTTTTTCACAACTAATCAATATAGGTAAAAAGAAAGAAATGGATTGTGAACTTGGGACATGAGAAAACACGAGTCACAGCACTATATATATACAAATATGCATATAACATAATTTGCAAATTATCAATAATTTTTAAATGTTTCTCTTTTGATAGCTTTGGCTAGGGGGATATTTTAATTTTAGATTTTATATATTATGATGTTTTTAATATGAGATACATTTTAAATTTTAAAATAAACTTATATATTCTTTATTGAAAATACTCTTTTCTTTCAATTTCATGCAATATTAATCTGCATTTCTCAGTCTTCTTTTACATAAATCCAATGCTATGAATGTTGAATTCATTAAGGAAACCACCAAGAGGATCCCATGAACTTACATTCTATACTGGAGATGTAGGTTGCTGTGTCTGTGAAAGTGCAGTCTTAATAAACATGCAAAGATAAAGTCATGAACACTCTCCCCTTGGATAAGGAGTACTGTCGTTATAAAACATGGTCAAATGTTAGTGATTACTGCAAAGAACCTAACACATTTGCCTCAGCAAATATTTGAAATTACCACAGTAGATTTAAACTGTTACTTATCTTAAATTTTCACAATATTCGAATAAAGCTGAGCTTACTCGATAAAGGAATAAGGAATTGAGATAGTCTATTTTTCCTCACAGAAGTTCACAAATCAGAGGTTGAGATGCACCCACTGTGCCTTTAATTCCTTGAATTTATAGGTAATTTCAGCAATTTAATTTGTTTCTTCACTTGCCTTCTGCTAGCAGACTTCTGCCTTGATATTGCCTAGAGAGTAATCCCTCATGCATAAAATGGTTTCTGTTAATTATTACTTTAACCACACTGCCGAGAACTCAATGAGTGTTCTGTGAGTCTAGCACAGCCTCATATTGTTATATAAAGTTATTGAATGAGTGTGGGCAAACACCATCTCAGCTGCTACAAAGAAATGTACTAACATCTCCACTGATCATAGAATCTTCAAAGATTCACAGTTATTTTATTGAAGCTTAACTGTACAGAGACAATTAAGGAAGCATTTGTCCAGATGGTCCGTTTCTTCAGATATTTTCTTTCTCATAACTTTTCAAATCAGTCAGAAAATTGTCTCCATCTTTCTGGCAGGAAGGACAGTATGTTACCAAGTGAAGAATTTAGTTCTAGTTCCTTTTTTTCCCCTCAAAGCTGAGAATCAAAGTTCATTATAAGATATTGTCACTTCAGTAGAATGAAATCCTGAGCTTGAAGAGAAAGGGCAATCTAGTAAGTAATAGGTTAGAAGGCCACAGAATGAAGTTGGATTGAGGCAGTGTCTCGGGAGTAAGAGTGGGCAATATTTGTTACTTCTTTTTATTTCTTTCATTCTCTGCTTTAATGGAATCGTTAATGAAACATGTTGCAGAGACCTATTATTTTCCAAAGTTAATATTTAATATTTAAGAGCCATCATTTTGGAAAATAAGAATAAATGTAAATCACAATGAGTCATTAATCTAAAGTTATTAATGAAAACTTTAAAGATTGGAGTCACTTACCCTAATCTTCATCTTAACTGGTAGGTTCAGTGACAGTTGAACATAAAGTCTTCAATACTCTTTGAAGAAGAATACAATTTCCAGCACATTTTAGCATCTTATGCTATGAAAGGGGAGAACTATGCCCTAACACACATTCCCTGTATTTAGTTGGATGCTAGACTATTTTTTCTTCAAGATAATACAAGGACATGAAAATGTTTCCAAGAATTATTTCACGCCTTCTACAGAATCAAATGTCTTTAAGATTCAAAGACAGAGAAATAAAAATCCTTTTCGTGGAAAAAACAGGGAAGGCTTCCTGTGTATCTTAATTAGAGGTTGCTAAAATGAGAGAACTGCATGAGAGCCACTAATAGACAACATGCTTCCTGATGGGTTGGTGAGAAATCTTTGGCTTAATCCTTTGGTCCAAAATAGAAAGTGAAAGCATGCGTTAAAACTTTCTTACTTATTATCAGGTTTCAGCTACTTTGGTCTGAATGTTGCATGCATTTTCATTGGCCAATGTGGCTGGCTGCTCCTCATACATGGCAGAGAGACTCACTACCTAGCTGAAGATTACCAGCATAAATTTTTAGTCCAATTATTTCTTTCTGTGCATTAGTTCCTCAGAAGAAACAAAGTTTAGCAATTTTTGACCTAAGCACTTATAGTCTTGGATCACCTTTTTTCTATGAAATCTCCCAATACCATCTGACAAAAACAAAACAAAACAAACAATCAAAAACAAACAAATAAAAATACAACTTAACATTCTACTCGTGCCTCATAAATGTCATAGAAGCAAGCACTACCTCACCAGAAAGGAGTTTTCTAGATCCCCATCAAGATGAGGAAGACATCGATTAAATGGAAGATTCCTTGGTGTGTTCAAGATACAGTGAATCAGAAGTACAGGAGTGAACTTATTGAATAACAAAAATCAATGCAATAAGGTTTTTGAACTTGAACAGTAGTAACTGCTTATTCTTCTTTATGTCACTGAAGTTTCTAAGTATGTGTCAAGATAGGAAATAATAATCATTTACAATATTCTTCACTATGAAAATAAATTCAAATAATGAAAACCGAATTAAACCTCAAAACATTTGTTTTGTAGCTTCTTTATGCTGAAAAAATAGTCAGATTTGTGAATTTAGAGATGAAATAGGAATCAATATTACATTTTACAATTATTTTATTTGTACTCTAATAACTGTTTCAAATATGGGGCACATTCCTTTGTATTGGTCTGTAAATGAACGTCTTAGGATGTTTTCTGTATAAATCACATGGTCCTGAAACAATTACACAGAGGATAATCAGTACCTCAACTAGATGTTTAGCTACTTCAAAGAGAAATGTTCCCAGAGTGAATGAAAGGTGGTATGTCCCTGTTCAGCATTAGAACATAAAGGATATAGCTTTGGGATCCTGTGCCAGGAACTTTAAAGTTCATTTTATGATATCTAACAGTTCAACAACATGTTTCATAGTTTGTTATCCTCAAGTCTAAGTAGATGAGGACTTGCATCAATGAGATGGGTTATCGTCTTTCATAGACTCAATTAATAACAATCTCGTGTTTATTCATTTGCCTTTATAATAGTTTAAGGTGTAAACACTGCATCTAGTGGCAGAGTGTGTTATGTTGACAAGAAGGAAAAATCCAAGACCTCAAGCCCAAATGAGCAGATATTTCTAGAAACCACACAGTTTTCCTGATACTGGGAAAGCCTAGCAAGCTACATTTCAAGGATTATAAGCTACACAATCATTCTTGAAATAACATAAAGAATTAAAAATCCATGATTGATTACTGTTACTTGTTGAACTGTTTAATGTTTTAAAAATACAATTATAAGGTAAATAGTATTTACATGACTTTATTTTAGCTAATCCTGTCAATAGTTAATATTTGTTTGTTTTGCTCTTTTTATGAGGACAAATAAACAGATATGGGATTGGGATGATTACTAATGAGAAGATTTTTACATCCTTTCTTGAAATATTATTAGCAGTTTAGGGAAGACAAAGAAAAAAATCTAAGGCAAGGTTTTGTTATCCAAAGTTGAAAAGAATTACTATGTGCTATTTAATACATTTGCTAAAGCTTCTTTTATTTAACTTTTATATTTAAATTAGAAACAATCTTGCTTGAAGTGTCAATCCCAGCTCCCTCTTCCTACCCTTTACCTACTCCCTCCCACCAAAGAAACCAGTCCCACCAATCCCTACTCCATTCCACAGGGAGGGCAAGGCCCTCTATAGGGAATTTGCACAGGCTTTCATTTCATTCAGGGCAGGGCCTAGGCCCTTCCCCAAGAGTCCAAGGTGAGAGAATATCCCTCATTGTGGGATGGGCACCCAAAGTCTACTTGTATGCCAGGGATAAATACTGATATAGTACCCAAGGCCCCATTGATTGCTTAGGCCTCCTCACTGACACCCACATTCACAGTGTCTGGATCAGTACCATGCTGTCCTCCCAGCAATCAGTCTGGGGCTCAAGAGCTTCCCCTTGTTCAGGTCAACTATTTCTGTGTGTTAAACAAGCCCAGTCTTGACTCCTTTGCTCATCAGTCCCAACTCTTTATCACTGGGCTCCAGGAGTTCAACTCAGTGTTTAGATATGGGTTCTGCCTCTGCTTCCATCAGTCGCAGGATGAAGGTTCTGTTTTCCAGACTCTCTGGCCCAAGAATTGTAAGCTGGCACGCCCGTGACCTATGTCTAAAATATGAGTGAGTACCACCATGTTTGTCTTTTTGTGACTGGATTACCTCACTCAGGATAGTTTCTTCTAGTGCCATCCATTTGCCTGCAGATTTCAAGATTACACTGTTTTTTGTTTTTTCCACTGAATAGTACTCCATTGTGTAAATGTACCACATTTTCGCTATCCATTTTTCAGTTCAGAGGCATCTAGGTTGCTTCCAGTTTCTGGATATTAAAAATGATGGTACTATGAACATAGTGGAACAGATGTTCTTGCTGTATGAATGGGCATCTTTTGGGTATATGCCTAGGAGTGGAATTGCTGGATCTTGTTGTAGGCTGATTCCAATTTTCCTGAGGAATCTCCATACTGATTTCCATAATGGCTGTACGAGTTGACACTCCCACTAGCAGTGGAGGGGTGTTCCTCTTTCTACCCATTCCCTCCAGCATAACCTGTCATTGGAGTTTTTGATTTTAGCCATTCTGACAGGAGTCAGATGGTATCTCAGTGTTGTTTTGATTTGCATTTCCTGGATGGCTAGGGAGGTTGAGCACTTTCTCAAGTGCCTCTCAGCTCTTTTAGACTCCTCTATTAAGAATTCTCTATTTATTTCTGTAGCCCACGGTTTAATTGTATCCTTTTGTGTTTTGGAAACTTGTTTCTTCAGTTTTTTTTTTATAAATTTTAGAGATCAGCCCACTCTCAGATGTGGGCTTAGTGAATATCTTTTCCCATTCTGTGGGATGCCGTTTTGTCTTGTTGACTGTATACTTTGCCTTACAGAACTTTCTCAGTTTCAGAAGGTCCCATGTATTAATTGTTGACCTCAGTGTCTGTGCTACTTGTATTATGTTCAGGAAGTGGTCTTCTCTACCAATTCGTTCAAGGGTACCTCCTACTTTCTCTTCTAAGAGGCTCAGTATGGTTGGATTTAGGTCGAGGTCATTGATCCATTTGAACTTAAGTTTTGTGCATGATGATAGACATGAATCTATCTGCAATATTTTACTTGCCAGCTGATCCAGGTATGCTAGCACCATTTGTTGAAGATGCTTTCTTTTTTCCATTGTATAATTTTAGCTTCTTTGTCAAAGATTAGGTGCTCATACATGTATGAGTTAATATCAGGGTCTTCAATTCTATTACATTGGTCTACCTGTCTATTTTTGTGAACAATACCAAGCTCTTTTCAAGACTATAGCTCTATAGTATAGCTTGAAGTCAGGGTGGTGATGCCTTTGGACGTTGCTTTATTGAATATGGTTGTTTTGGTAATCCATGCAATTCCTCTAAAATCAGGAACAAGACAAGGCAGTCCACTCCCTCCATACTTCTTCAATATTGTGCTTGAAGTTCTTGATACAGCAATGAGACAACAAAAGGAGATCAAGGGAATACAATTGGAAAGTAAAAGGTCTATTTGCAAATGATATGATAGTTTACATAAGTGACCCTAAGCACTCTACCAGAGAACTCTTACAGCTGATAAACACCTTCAGCAAAGTGGCAGGATACAAAATTAACTCAAAAAATTAGTGGCCCTACTCTATATAGACAATAAAGGGAATGAGAAAGATATCAGAGAAACATCACCCTTTACAATAGCCACAAACAACATAAAATATCTTGGGCCACCTCTAACCAAACAGGTGAAAGACCTGTATAACAAGAACTTTGAATCTTTAAAGAAAGAAATTAAGGAAGACACCAGAAAATGGAAAGATCTTCCATGCTCCTGGAGAGGTACAATCAATGTAGTAAAAATAGCAATCTAGCCAAAAGCAATCTACAGATTCAATGCAATCCCCATTAAAATCCCAGCACAATTCTTCACAGACCTTGCCAAAGTTGTGTAAAGCCCTAGATTTAGAGATGACCTAGAAACAGGACTTGTTATGGAAATATACAATTCACAACCGATGTCTGTCTTTCATTAGGATGAGACTCTATTTTTCTATAACAGTACCAATCCAATAGAAGCAGGCTCAAGTGTCATCTCCCAGGCTCTTGGATAGACATCTTTTTACAACCTTTGGCAACCTTAGTATGCCATGGTAGAACATGAAGATCCTGTTCTGTATGTAAATAATAAAATCTCAGTTTTATAAGCTTCCAAAAACATGATACATATATATTCTCAATTATCTTTGAGCATGTACACACACACATGCACGCAGATGTGTTTACGATTGTGTGTGTGAGTGTGTATATGTGTGTGTTTTATGTATGAGTGTGAAAGAGAGACATTAACCTGATACTAAGTGAATCTACTTTAACAAAAATTTTGAGGAAATTCAGAAATCAAACAGCTTTCCACATGAAATACTGAATTTATTTATTTAAATATAGTTTTACCATAAGCTTTTCTCTATTTACAAAGTTGTAAAACAACTCTTCTTCCTCTTACTTTAATTATCTGAAACGTATTATCAAATGAAGAATGTGTGTCTTCTATAATGTGTTTGTGTGTATGTGTCTGTCTGTCTGTCTTTCTGTTATTTGTTGATATCTTAACAATTTAAGAAAGGAAGGTTTATTTTGAATTATAGTTTCAGATGGTCATCCTTCACTGAAGGGAAATCATGGTAGCATGCGGAGCTGTTGGATATGTTACATCTTCTCTCAAGAAGCAGAATATGAAGAGATAATCTGGCACTCAGCTCAATGTTTATTATTCTGT